CTAAAATATCGCAGTTTTCGTATTTCTGGAAATTACCGTTATATGGGAAGTGGGCGTGGTTACAGTCCGATTTCGCCCATTTTCAATACCAACCTACCTTGGATTAAGGGAAACCTACATACCAAATTTCGTTGAGATATCTCAATTTTTGCTCGACGCGGACGGACAGACATTCTGAGCATTTATGTATACATTTGTCCTTATCTATCTCGATTCATTTTGGCTGTTACAAACAACCGTTATGTGAACAAAATTAATATACCCTTGTGCACAAGTGCGCTCGGGTATAAAAAAAAAATAGCAAAAAATAAAATCTTTAAAAAACAATTGTCCGTATTGCCAAAAACTCTCTGTACCTAAACTTTATTGATTGACTGTATGTGTGCGGTGCACACCCAGTAGAAGTGAAACCTTCATAAAATTACGAGAGAATGAGGCAAATTACTTTACTCTAGCACCAATATATAGAGCCCTGCCAGAGTTTAATCAAAACTCTCAAAAATTGTAAATATGGAGTTTCCATTGCCGAGATTGATATTTAAACCTAATATAGAAACATTGTAAATTTATTATTATTTTATTATTCTAACCTTTTATGTAATCTAGTCTGAAAGATTGTTAAAATGAATGAATGTGTTTGTTTGTTGTAATATTGGTACGAAATTGATAAGTTCTTATAATTTTTTGTTTCCAATTTTTTAGATTTTTTAATTTTTCATTTTATTATGTATTACACTGTACAGCACTTGGCTGGGTATTGGACCAAAGCAACTCTTTTTAAGAGATTGAGTCATAATTAAAAAAGGAATTTCTCCGTTTTTCTAAGTTAGCTTCCGAAATCGAGATATGGGCACTCGAAGTTCGAAATTGGACCTATGGAGTCCGTACAGCACCAGGGATTTTTAACAATTTCGCTAACCTCGCATCATTGGAGTTTATAAGGAAGCGCGATCTATACACACTTAACACTCCTGATCTGTTTTTAAAAAATGAGTGCAGCGAGTACAAATTAATATGAGGAAGGCCTAAACTACGATCTTGCTTTACTTCTACACCGATACTTACCATTATAATATAATTATTATATAAATATATATAAATTTTGTCTCCGTTCGTTTGGCGACTCTATCGAACCGATTTCAAAACCAAGAACACCGTTGGAAAGGCATTTTTCCGTAGATGAGCAGTTTTTGTGGTTTCACAATTGGTTGAAAATTACGGCCAAAACCGCTGTTTAAACATTTTCGAATTGTGTAGAGATGTTGCTGCAACATGTTCAATTTGACATGTTTCGCCTGTTGTTTCACTACACATTTGAAATTAAGCTTTGAAATAAAGATAAATATGAAGATGAAGAAATAAATGAGAACGATGAAGTCAAAAAAAGGGCAAAAGTGAAGATAAAGACGAAACTGGAGACAATGACAGATACATAAGAATTAGGGTAACTAAAAGGGTAAGAACATTTCTTGAATTTACGAAGTAAACTTCTTTAGCGGCAGTTGATTGGTTGGGAGTAAATTGTCAAATTCAAGGTGTATAATGCACGTGGAAATGGTTCTCAGCGGTTTAGCGGTTTGAGAATAAAAACAAAAACAAAGATGCCTAGAGGTACAGGCAAAAACGAAGATCAAAGCAAATTTAAACACTTTAAGGTAAAGGTGAAGAGGAATATGCAAAAATAAAGATAAATATGAAGAAAAGGATGAGGATGAAGATCGATATTGTTATCGATATAAAACCCGATATTTTTATCGATATAATAATCGAGATTGCTATCGATAAAATAATCGGTGTTGTTATCGATACTGTTATTAATTAAATAACAGCTATTGTAATCGATATAATAATCAATATAATAATCTATATTGTTATCGATACAATAATGGATATTGTTATCGATATGTACAATAATTGATACTGATGATTGTTATATTTATCGACGAATTAAACGATTTTGCAATCGTTGTATTTTTCTATATGTTTATGGATATCGTTATCGGTATTTTTATCGGTACAGTTATCAACAGGGTTATCTATATAATAATCGGAACATGGAATGTGATCACATTAAATGACATCACATTATATCACATGATATGAAGAGACATCACATGATATTGCATCACATAATATGATATCACATCACACGATATCACGTGACATGAAATCATATGATATGACATCACATTATATGGCATGACATCACATGACTTGACATCACATGATATGTCATCGTATGATATGACATGGCATTACATGACGTGGCATCACATGATATGACATCATAAGGTATGACATCATATGACATGACACCAGAGGATATGACAACACATGACATGACATCCTATCACGTCACATAAAATCACGTCACATCTTATCATGTCATCGCACCTCATCTCATCTACGTGAATAGAAAAAGAAAAGGATATAAGGAAAGATGTGAAAGATAAAAACAAAGATGAAGACTAAGGTAAAGTTACCGATTTCAAAACCCAAAACACCGTTGGAAAGGTAATTTTCTGTAGATGAGGAGTTTTTATAGTTTCGAAATTGGTTGAAAATCGTCGTTTAAAAATTTCCATATTTGTGTATGGTTGTTTTTGCAACCTGTTCAATTTAAGCTATTTCGCATTTTGTTTTACTTTGTGTTTGAAATTAAACTTTGAAATAAAGATAAATATGAAGATGAAGAAACAAGTGATAACGATGAAGACAAAAAAAAGCAAAAGTGAAGATAAAGACGAAAATTGAGATAAAGGCGAAAATGGAGACAATGAGAAATACATAAGAATTAGGTTAAAAGATAGGAATCGAAATAAAATCAGCCATAAAGGTTGCTGAAATTTATCGAATCATCGAAGTTTATAATTATCGAAATTTATCCATGCTTATTAAGTTATCGCAACGTATCGAATTATTCAAACTGATCAATGTTTACTGAGTTGTCGAAATTTATAGAAACAGAAACTTAGTTGTCCAAATTTACGGATAGTTATCGAGCTATAAAAACGTGTGGGATTAACGAAATTTGTCAAGTTAAAGAAATGTATCAAGTTATCGATATTTATTGAATTATCATTATTTCTTTCAACTTACAGAGTTATCGATAATTATTGATCTACTGAAATTGGTTGGTTCAACAAAGCAAAGTTTATGGAATTTTCAAAATATATCGATTTATCGAAATTTCAAGGTTATATAAGCTTATCGATTTATCACTGCTTATCGAATTTAATCGTCTTAACAGAGTGTAACGAGTTATCAAAATGTTTAGATAGTTTTCGAAAAATGTGGAGATGTCAAAAGTAAAAATTTATAAAGGTATCCAAAGTTCTTACATTTTTGAGTTATCGAAATTTATCGAGCCATCGAATTTCACAGTTATCGAAATTGGTCGAGTTAACAAATTTTGTTGAGTTATCGAATTTTAGTGTTCTTGAAATTCATCGATCTATCGATATGTATCAAATCATCGAAATTTATCGATAAACTTTAATGTATCGGGTCAATTCCAAGTCCTGCCGAAGTCCTCCGAAGACCTCAGATAAAAAAAAAATAGTTACGTTTTAGCAGAAGATTTTCCGGTTAGTTAATTTGTACCGTATAAGTATCGCTACGTGTTAAGTTAGAAAACCTCTCCAAGGCTTCTAAAACTAGAAAAACTGTCGAATTTCGACAGTAACTGGAACTCTAGTATTATTTTATATTATGTATGCTTTCTTGCCTTGGTGCTGATAGAAAAACAATGAAATACGTATTTCTTATGAAAGCACAATATAATTTAATTCTCATTTTTGTTGTTGGTATTTCCGACAGGGTAGGAGTGTGATGTAATGTGGAACGATTTTCCGTCATCCCTTGTCAAATTTGGTTTGGAGACAAACCGGTTTTGGCGTTGTGCCATCTTCAGTGTCATAACAGATTTAACGATCATTAGTTAAGTGCCCGTTAGAGCTAATTTAATGAACGTTTCTGAGTGCGGCTGTAAGAGTTAAATTTTTACATTACTAAATCCGACAATGTCTTGCAGCATTGAAAATTGACTCAGAGTTAAGTTACCCGAGGGATTTCTAAATTAAGTAGGCACCACTCTCCTTTTTTTGACGTTTGTTTTGATTGTTTATATTTATTATTTGAAATTAATTGAAATATAAAATTTCTATTACAACCAGAAAAACTAAAGAATGGCAAATATTAAATAAAATAACATCTCGCTATGGTTGGATCAATACACATGCCTGTCCAAGCACATCAACTTTAAGAGGGACTTCTATTACTTGACCTGAATATGTACTCATTTATTTATTAAATCCACGCCATGGTAGTTGAAAAGAACACTGCGTCATGAAGATCTTCAACTCCTTTCCCGTGCAAATTGGCCAGTGACACTTCTTCACTGCACACTTTCGGTGCATTTAAATCGTGTATATACATATTTTTTTACGCGAGACTGACCGAAACTTCGATTTGAAGGCCGAAAATGAATACGTGCATATGTGTGTATAACCTACGCACTAACCGCATTAACAAACAGCTGATTTCACTCAACACATATTTCTTTTAAGCATTTATACCTGTGTCGCACTCGCTGAAACCGTATTCAAAAGCAAACAAAATTTGTTATTTTTATTCGATATTTTTTAAATAATTAATTTGCGCGGTGGACCGAAATGAAAGCGAACAAGAATTCAAGTTTGTTATAATAATAATTCAAATTTAAAACGAGCTGTATAAACAAAACCAGCCTTTTTTCACTCGCGTCAAATTAGTGATGCGTTTATACCTGTTTTCTAACCGATGTGAGAAATAAAAAACCGATTTGAATACAAATTCGAGTCAACACACTTTTGAATTTCTGAGCGTATTGAAAGTTGGTTTATGCTTCCGTTTTTAATCGCAGCGAACCGGGTCAAAGCGCTTTATGTGTTGGTATAAACAAGGTATATGTAAACATGTGTTCACAAATATTTTTTTAATTTTTGAAATCTCAATTTTATTATTCTTGTTACTGACAGAATTGACATATGTAGAGATAGCAAGTTAATCTTAGAAAATTGCTGGGCTAAATATTTAACGACTTAACTTGAATTTTACACCCAACCATTGATTGGGCAAGCCAATTTATCAATTTAACCGGTAAATTTCGAGTTATATAGATAACCTGCTGTTCTGCAAGTGGGCCTAAGATAAGCACGTTGAGAGGAGCAGAGAAAAAAATTTCGATTATAACAAAATATTTTTTCTCGAATTCAAATCTATCCTATCTTTTAAAGTGGAACCAACAATCCACACCCACAAAATTTCAATGAAATCGGTTAAGCGGTTTCGGAGTTTAGCGTAAACGAACACAGTGACACGGGATTTTTATATATTAAGATAAATAAAAATTTCTTAGAAAGAAATGATTTATTTAACCAAAATCAGCAATATTTTGCTAAAATGCTTGTTAGGTAGTAAATAAGTATGACAAAGTAACTTTGCGCAAAAGCTACTAAAAATATGCCTAATAAATTAAATCTCCGATCTGGCATCGGTTATTTGGAAGAAGTCCTTTCGATTTTTAACCGACTTCCAAAAAAGGAGGAGGTTATCAGTTCGTCGGAATAATTTTTTTTGTTTTTTTTTTTTTTTTTTTTTTTTTTTTNACTTTGGACCACGTCAACCGATTTCGATAATTCTTTTGCATGCAAAATTTTGCATCGGAAAGGTAGTGTCTCAGAGGTGGTCCCATACTAATCCGATCAGTGGATCATGAGATATATATATATATATATTTTTTTTTATATGGGAGTTGAAGTCGGTTTTTTTTTGCTAAAAATTACTTGTAATTGTCACATGTACAGTTGTAAAGCGCACAGAAATGAAGGGTTTCATAATTGGTTAGTAAATATTTGACGAAAATAACAATTATATTTTAGTTTTCATACATCTTCAATTTTACAGCAAAAATGAAACACTGAAGTGAATCTGGTGATGACTGGTGGTTGCTGTGTATCTGGTGATGACTTTGTTGTTGTGAATCGATAATCGATTAATTATACTTTAGTAGGGGCTTTCCCGCACGCAACGCGGGATCCCGCGAGTGCCCAAAATAGCTCAGAAATCATTCCCGTTCTCAACAAAGTGGGTAATAGCGAGCGAAAACTGGAACATATTGGATCGTAAGTGTCTTCTTCTTCCTGCCCGAAACAGCCCGGATTTTTTTTCCGGGTAAAAATGGATAAAGTGCATATCAGCTGTTTTGTGTTTACATGTTGCCTGCATTTACTTGGTGCTTTTAAGGAATAGCGAATGGCCTGTTGATGTATTTTCAATCTTAACATATATACTTAAAATCAAATTTCTCAAATTCCATTTCCAGGTGTTTGCATTTAATTGACAAAAACAAAAACAACGTGAATCAGATGTTTCTCAAATTGTAGGCACGAAATGTGGTTCTTTGCGTTCCCGTACTTCTGGACTTTGTTCCATTTTTGAAAGCATTTTTTTTTTATTCTCTAATTACCGGATCCGGTCCGGTTTGTTAGGGAAAGAACCTAGTGTTAATATCATCAGTGAACTGTAATTATTGATTTTCTTTCATCACATCAACAAAATTTCTGTGAAAATCACACTTACTAATATCTATGTACATGGGCGTAGCCAGGTAGTGGAAGGGCGGGCCCGGGCCCTCCCCCCCTAACTTCCAAATTTTTGCCTAGATATTCAAAAATAGTACCCCTAAATGCTTTAATTTCGGCCCCCCTAACTTTCAAGGAGTTTCCTATATATATACTGTATAACAAATTATACTCCCAAAGCTATCAAAATAATTAGTAAATTGATTTAAAAAGTGGATATGTGGATCATCCGGTTCTGTATCAAGTTATTCTCTCTAACTTCAAAGCACTTCCATTTAAAAAGGGTAAAAACCTGCCTGCAGTCGACATTGAGCAAAAATAGTGCAATTGTTTATTACTTTGTCTTTAGGTTTGTGTCTTTTCTAAGCGTACAACGAAAGTTTTGTATCACAGAACCAATCTGAGATTATTGATAAAACTATAGACCGGTTGGGTGAACAGCCAAGACGTTTACTTCTTAAGTGTGACAAAACAAACCCAAGTAATATATTTAGCATAAATGAATATACCAGTATAAAAAACCTGCATACTCAAAATTTTCAATATGACCTCATATTTATACATACCTATGTATATAATTTAAGAGAAGATATTTCGCAGCAAAGCAATGATTATAAATTATTAGTTTACCTAACAAAATTGCGGAGGAATATTACAGAGTATAGGGAAAAAAGTTTATTTTTTTACATTTTTTATTTTGATTAACGTCTGGTCCGGCTATTTGGTTTACTATACAGGTATGTAGAGCTATGAATTTAAAAAATACATCAGGGTTTAGTTGAGATATTCGCTTTTGACCACTATGTTTTGTACATTTCCCAGTACTGCAAAGCTTTTGACTGCCATTCAACTGGGAGTGGCCCGCGTGCGCTGGGTTTGGGCCCCGCCACGTTAAAACCCTGCCCAATGAAAAAAAACACATGCCTCGGATGATACCCCTTTCTTTTGATGGCGATCACGGCAAACATAGGAAGGACTATGATTTTAGGGTATGCACTTGAAATATCCAAATCCTTAATCGGGATGGTGCCTGGCTGGTTGATGTCCTAGGGAAAATAAAGGTTGACATCACCGCCATCCACGAAATGCGATGGACGGGGCGAGGAAGGCAAGCGTGAGCCTTGCGACGTCTACTACAGTTGCCACGTAAAGGAGTGCAATTCGGTGTTGGATTTGTGGGGGGTGGGGGGGAGAGACCGGCGTTCACTCTAGCGGACGAAAGTCTAGCCACAATCCGCATTAAAGCGAGATTCTTCAACATCTCATTCATATGTGCCAATGCCCCGATGGAAGAGAGGGACGAGGCATCCAAGGCATCCAAGGCTCTCTTAGCTTAGAGCGTACATATTAGATGAGGGTGATCGACTTCGCCGGGACCCGAAACTTGGCAGTATGTATTACTGGGTTCTAGCATAAAAAGATCCATCAAGCTAAATGGATGTATCCACATCGAAAAACGGGAAACCATATCGAGGATGTTGTGATAGACGGAAGGCATGCTTCCATGTTTTAGATGTACATACGTACACTCCGAGGGCCAAACATCGACTCGCACTACTATATTGATGCATCCAATATACGACCCAACCTCGGAGCAACAAAAAAAAAGGGCCCCCAATAATCCAAGGAAAGTTCAACGTCGAAAAGCTGCAATCAAAACAGACGGCCAATGGATTCGGCGCTCGACCCTCACACCTGCTGTGAGAGAGCACTCTTCAACAAACCGACTTGCGCGATCAGTGGAACCACATTTCCCGCTCATTACTGGCACGATGAGGAGCGTGAAAAAATGCTTAAAATGCTGGCCGACAGAAAAGACACCCGAAATTTTTAGCAGTGAGTTGAGCGACTTACGGAAGGTAAGACTTCAAGGAACAACCATGGCGACCTAGTGACCGATGTCCAGGACGTTCTCAGATTATGTAGGGAACACTTTTTGACCCTTGTGAATGGCAGAAGCACTGAAAGAAGTGGAGAAGACGAACCCGAGGTCCCAGTCGATGAAGATGGAGTCGATATCCCAGCG